ACGATAGAAAAGTTAAAGTGATGAAATTTATCAATAAGTATAATTTTCGTCTTTTTCTAGTACAATTTCAAAATACGAAACAGACATACCAGACTTAGTAGTATTTTGGATTCAAAGGAATTATATCAAAGTACAACTGTTATTGTTATAGCAGTATGAGCTGCATTTTTGAGAATTTTATTTTGCTGTTGAAATGAGTTATTATGATAAATTTTTATGTATCTTAAACTTTTATGGTCAATTAGACTGAAATAAAGCAGAAGAAAGACTTCTATACACAATTCAATACACAGTTTTATAGATAAGATAAGATTTATTGATACCAATTTGGGGCCCATCAGGGCATACAAGTAATGAAAAAAAACATACAAGAAGAAATTCAAAATTGATAGTAGCAACTAACAAAAGATTAATGATGATACAACAGTTGGTGATTACAACATAAATAATCTACATACTGTAAATATAAGGCTTTTTTTTTACTAAAGTATAAACATTATTACTCTTTGTACTTATTTGTTTCTTTTTTTTAACATTGCATAATTTGCTATTTCTTATTTTAAAAATATTGATTAAAAAATTACCCAGCTTGATAAGCAACATGTCATTTTCATTAGACATAATCCATAAAAAATTTTCTTTATTTGTTAAAGTATAGAAATTTTTATTACTTTTAACAATAATCTTAAAAAAGTCATCTCTATCATGTTTATATAATGGGCATTCAATCAGTGAGTGTATCTCATCTTCCACACAGTTCATGTCGCACATTCTACAAATTCTTTCATTTCTTGCAAGGGTGGTTTGCTCTCCTACAGACTTTATTTTTTTTTTTCATATCTTCCACTTTCTATTCTGAGATTATGTGGGCTTATTAAAAAAAAATATTGTACAGGACGACAAAACTGTAATTTTGATTCAATCGAAGCGTATAATTAGTCCTTCCATCGCAAATATGAACTATAAAAGTTTATTAACGTTATTTTTTCTGTCTTTGAAATATTCATTTAAAATTTTGCAACAAATAATTCCGACATCAAAGTTGCAGCTCATATTGCTTTAAATGATAAAACGCCGCTGCTATACAAAACTGATAAAACTTCGTCCATATATAAAAATATTGAACCTAAGGCTATAGAAAGAGACATAGGTGTATAAAATATTGAAAAGTTGTTCATTTTGAAGTTATTGATTTTGATAAAATTTTGTGATTTCAAAGAGCTAAGTCCCCTTTATGCATAAAATGAGTTTCACAAACAAAGAGGATGCCCCCCCCCCCCCAATTATTTATGTAGTATACAATGCCCACCAAGACTTCTACAATATTTTATGTATATTTACTTGTGTAAAATTGGTCGTAATGATATACTTGAATAGATACCGGTAATGAGTTAGTCAGTTATATCGGCACTGAATTCATCACATAATTTTTTTAAAATAAGGTTATGTTCTCATATGATGATGTAAGATTGATAATGCTTATTTGGGGGATTCGATACAATGTAAAATATTTACATTTCCAATAAATATCCCCTATGATTCTTTGCAAAATAAAATGCAGTTCATTTTCTCATGAATTACATTACATATGTACCACAAGTAACCATGAATATCTCCATTGTTACGTCAAAATACCGCTCTTGACGTCAAAAAATATTATAGTTTGCAATTCAGTGTAAAATTTTACGTTACGTCACGATCTTTTTCATCAGATGCATCCAGCGTAAACAACTCACGTGATTGGTCAATTACTCAAATTATCAACATTGACAGGAAATAATCTGTTGCACGGGCAACCAATCAGGGTTAAGAAAAGAGTTCCAGTCGTAAAGCTTGCGGTTAGGAGGCGTGAACAATTTACCTTGAGCGCAGCTTTCAACTAGATCGTGACGTAACGTGAAACTTTACACTTAGCTGCAAACTATAATATAGCGCACACTGTTTTGCTTTAAAAATGACAGGTGAATGGCGTAGATGTATGGCAAGTCATCAGAAAAATAATGTAAATATAAGAAATGAATTTAATTTCTGAAGATTCATGAGGTATATGAACTACACCTCTTCACGCCGCATATTTATCATGAAGCGTCGTCGTTCATTACCTCATGAATCTTCAAAAATTAAATTCATTTCTTAAATATATATTTTATTAATATTAAACTGATCTAAGTCTTTTTGACAAAACTCATTTAATTTGTCAATTAATGCATACATTGTAAGTTCATTAAAATTATTCATCTAATTTCATTTAGGAAAGACAATGATAATGTGTTTAAATGAGTCCAGTTGAATTGGTGTACTTTAATTATTACATTTTAAAATAAATATTTTGTAACTTTATATTTATTAGATGTTTTATTATTTTGAGAGTCAGAAATCGTACAATTGCCTGGTAATGAAAATAGAGTATTTAATAAACCATATTTTCAGCATACCTTTTGTTCATCTTTGAAATATAAGCCGTGAGAAGTTTTGATTTAAGAGTTTTTTTGGATAGGTTATGAAAATGTGTCATGAAGAGAATATTATCAATATCGATCGTATCCGTCCAGTAAGTGTTTTATTGTGTCCTATTCATTTGAATTTAAACTTCCTGGTTCAAGATGTGATGCTGCAAACAAAACCTTCAATGGAATCCTAAGTACGTACTGTTTTCTCATCTTTTCGGTTCTCTTTTCAAAGGACAATCTTTTATTCAGAAAACGAGACTTTTGTATGCCTTTTACAATAAAGTATTCTTTATGAGCGACAGGCTATAAAGTATAATCTTCAGTGCAACGTTTACCAATGCAATGTAAAGATATCGAAAAGAAATTGTGCTCAAAAGTCTATTTAAATAATACAAAATCTAACAAAGCAAAATAGGGCCTCTAAAGACATGTGATGGTGGGGTCACGTGCCAGGGAAGAGTAAGCATCCCCAGTCGACTAGTTAAACTCACAGCACACAATTAAGTGTGAGAGTGATGACTTAACAACTTGAATGAAAGATCCAGTCCATATTCGACTTGATACCAAACTACATGAATATAATATGCAGCAATATACCCTTATCACCTTTATATGGAGGTTATATCTCATTTTTCCCAATTATTCGATACGGAAGACCATGCTTTACGTATGAAGAATTTCTAAAATGAGGTACATTATTGACAAACAAGTTGATGAAACAAGAATATCAGCAGTCTTGTTAAAAGTCATCACTTCTATGTTCTATATGGTTGGAACAACGGCCTTGTCAGTAAATACAATATATATCATTAAGTGAAATGCTGACTGACGTCTTTCATACTTACTGCTCAGTCATCATATACACAGTGAATTGTCGACGGATTTTCCGTTATTTAACGATCATGACAAGAAGAACACAGCGGGTGTGATCGGTAGCCAGGGGATGCTCTCTCCTCCATGGCACCTGACACCATTTCTGATGTTTTAGAGGTCCGTCTTTGCCCAGCTCCAGATTTTAATCATTTGACTTTGGAGCATGTTGGAAAATCTTTGACTCGATGATAAATTGTATTTGCTGACAATATCATTATACATGTATCGACCATAGAACTTACGAAATGATGACTTTAAACGAGACTGCTGAATTTTCTTGTTTCATCAACTTGTTTATCAATAGATTAATACCTCGTTTTAGAAATAGTTCATACGAAGAGCATGCTCTTGTGTATTAAATCAACTGAGACATATAGCTCCGTATGCAGGTGATGAAGGTATATTGCTACATGAATAAGGGAAGTTGACGGTTGAAAAGTTAAAGTCATCAAGTTGTTGTTAGTTTACAAATAATGTCTTTTTCAAGTAAAATATCCAAATATGAAACAGAAGAGTCAGACTTTGTGGTATCTCTTATCTTAAGCCCATCAAGATATATCGTATCGACATAAGAATGGAAAATACCATTGGTAATTGACAATACGTCGTCGATATACATTTATCTATTCTAAATGTCGAGTTGTAGGCCACAGTGAGTTATTTCTTCTTTTCATGCATAAAAGTTTTCACACATTCATCTTTTAGATGTAAACTTCAGAGTACTTGTGTGTGCAATTAGAATGTTTTTAACAAAGAATAATTTTGCAAATTACCAATGACAAAGTAAGTAAATTTACACGTTCCATTTTATTGAAGAAGCAGCTGTCAAATAATTAAAAAAGCATGGACTTTAATTTATCGATGGGAATGATTGTGTATAAAGTTGAAAAGTTGTAAGTTTTTAAGCTATTGAATTTGGTAAAATCTTGTCATTTCAAAATTTTCAAAAGTTCCTTGGATTTTTAAGTATCCACATCTGATTTACACCACTTCTTGAATATATTGTTGCACAGTACTCTTGAAGTGTCTCCTTCACTACTGTTAATATCTTAGTGAGGAGCAAAGAAAGAGCCTTTACTGAACATTTACTAGAACCCACTTTGCATCTTTGCTTGTAAGGATTCTTATGAAGTTTCAGAATAACAACAGAAAAGGTGTAATATTTTTGAATGCTTATATATTTTGATACTCCATTTTTTCCATATATCAGTGCAGTAACATAAGTTCAACATCATGAAGATAGTATCATAATGCACTTAAAGGGAAGAACATCGGAAATGTATAATAAAATTTTAATACAAATGTATTTTCTTCTATTGATCTACCTCAAAACGATAAAGGTCTGGATTGTTTCTCACACCAAATCTATCCGTGCTTTATGGCAATATATTATTTTATAATTTAAAAAAAAAAACTTTTTTCTTCATTTCATGAAAACACTTCAAATCGCAAAATCAATTGTTACGCATAAATTTAGATTCTTGATCTACAAGTACTCTCATCCTAGGGGGAGATTAAAAATTCACACCACTCGCAGGATCGGAATGGTGTTCAAGTGAAGAATCGATCATTTTTTATGCATTTAAATTAATTGCTGTTCAGACAATTTCGTATTATACGAGTGCATGCTCACAACTAAAGGTCCTAACAACAGCAATGACGAGCCTTAATGTAAATCACATTAAACTTTTCGTCATATTTGAGTTTTTTACCATGGCGTTTTCATCTTCACAAATTTCATACCAGATTCCGGATTGTAATATAAAAAACGGTTACGATTCACTAATAGGAGTTTGCAACACAGAATCTTTGTTAGAGTGCTCTGCCAAGTGCATCAATAACTGTAAATGCTTTGGTTTTAATCCACTGTCAAAGGTTTCAAACTGTCGCTTACACCGCAGTTGTGAAAAGGCTAATTCCACCAGTGATGGGAACAACTGGATATATTTTAATCCTAGTGGTAAAGGTACAGTGTCATAACAATGAAACAATGAAATAATCCTAAATCTGTAAACCAGAAACCATTATCTCTTTATTGAAAAATTAAAACGATACATTATAATATGTATGTAATAATCATTTCAGGGTTTTTTTTTTTGCCTTATTCTTGGTTTAATTCTTCTTTTTAAAACAAAGTTCTGTAAATAATTATAAAAAGTGAATAATTGTCAATAAAAAATTCTTTCACTGAATAACAAATTGTACCGCTAAAAACTGAAAAGACTACGTTTTATCAAAGATTTCTGAAAAAAAAATATTTGTAATAATTCATTTCAGATGTGTCTCAAAAAAAATTTAAGGAACTTATGGAAAATTTCAAATTACAAAATTTTACAAAAATCAACAACATAAAAACTTAAATTTTCAACTTTATACACAATTTTTTCATAAATGCCTATTTGTTGAAAACTGTTTCTTCAATAAAAATGTCTCTTAAATTGTCAAACTTGTCTTAATTTTCAAAATTATTTCTTAAAACTTCTGATTGTACACACAAATTCTTTGCTGCTATATGCTGCTTTCATTAACAATACATTTTGTCTTCCAACAATCTATTGACATGTCATTGCACTTTACAAACCTTTTTTGTATTCAAATGAAATTAAAATTAGTACATGAAAGCAATCATTTTTTTTTTAATATATCGAAGTTTGTCAATTAACAATGGTTATTTCAATTCTTTTATCGATACGATATATCCCGGCGAGCTTGAGAGAAAAGATACTACAGGTCTGAGACATCTGTTTCTTATTTGTATATTTTGCTAGAAAAAGACGTTAATGCTAATCTAACAACAAAAACAATGCTTTTAATAAAAATTTTAATTTTTCAATTAAAATTTGTATATGACTGCTTTTGCCACATGCATACTATATCTCTCATGCAATATTTATACAATTTCTAAAACAAGTTAAATTATTGACAAACAAGTTGATGAAGCAAAAATATAACAGTGTTTAACTTCTTAAGTTCTATGCGCGCATACAATTCCTTGTCAGCAAATACAATTCATCATTTGTCAAACGTCGTTTTTTCAAGCAACACACTATGTCCATGATTTTTTTGTTATTTTGCGCATACCAAGCAGCACACGATGGGTGTGACCGGTCGGCAGAGGATTCTCATTCTTCCACGGTACCTGATCCAACCTCTGATGTTTTGGAGGTCCATGTTTGCTCCGCTCCAATTTTGTAATATTTATAGACTTATGAGCTTGAATACTGTTTGTTATCTCCATATATTTCACTCTAAAGATGAAGTTTAATAACATCAGTGTTTAACATTTTTAAAATTCAAATAATCAAAAGTGATAAGATCTACCAGATTTTTACTGGATTCCTAAATTTCATAACAATCCTTACAAACAGGCTAGAATACATTAATCCAGGGTCCAGCTAATGATTTACCAAGCTCTCATCTTTACACCCTTACAAAATATAAACTGTGGTAAAGGAGACTATCAAGAGGTACTGTGCTTCAGTATTTTAATATATCTAGAAGTGTACATCGAATGTGGACACACGAAAAATTTAAAATCATCAAACGTTAATAACATTAAAATCCGTCTTTTCTTCACAATTTACAACCATTTTCCTAGACTTTTTTTTTTATATATAAAGGACAACCACTTCTTAAAGAAATAAGAAATGGGAAATTTTCACATCTTGTGACTGGTCATCATCAAAGTTATATCGCTAAATATATTCCTGTCTCTACACAAAAGCACTCTTAAGTTGATATTTAAAAGAAGCTGAAGTTTAACATAGCATTTATGTTGACGTTAAGACCAAGTTTTTGTTAAAGTCAGCAGTTAATTCTATAGACGTTTAAAGAACCAATCATCTGGGGCTTATTTAGCTGACTTATTTCATACCAATTGTTAGGCATTTGCTGTTTCTAATATATTTGGGCTTCTTTCGATGACTTGTTTAATACCATTTATTTTAGCATTTAAATAATTAAATATAAGAAATATAACCGATAATTTGGGCTTATTTGGCTGACTTAACTCCTTCTGCTCCTTCTAGGCCACTGATCCCATCTCTATGACTCATAGGGCCCCTTGTGTATGCCCCGCTCACAGATTTGCATTTTTGGTTGATTTTTTAAGATCAAAGACCCGTTATCTTTGCCTTTTTTACATATGCAAATGTTTCAACTTAAAATTCACTTTTAGGCCTTCTTGCCAAAAGTTGCTTGGATCTATTCAATGCTGGACGGAATTGCTCAAGACTATACACCATTTACCCATGGATGGACTACGATCGACCTGTGGAAGTTTTCTGTGATATGTCTACAGATGGCGGTGGTTGGACGGTAAATAGAAAAAATTATAATAATAAAATGCTTTCTTTGGATGCATGATTAATGAAAATTCAGTGAATATAAATATTGATTGATGCATTGCAAGTTATTAAGTGATTATTACGTTAAAGTTTACTGAAAGATATTTCTACGCCATCAAAAATTGGTTTAAAAAATCCGATGGAAATAGTCCAGAATATGGCATTACATGTACATGTATCATATGTACTGTATCTTCATGCAGCAGTCTTGTATTCATATTTAATCAATAATCGCCTTGAGGTTAAAATCTAGCAACAAAACAGGTGTCTACTGATTTTTCAAATTCCTTTAACGATGTTTTGTAACTATAGCTGGATGAAATGAAGAAAATTATGTATGCATAGAGGACTTTTTCTACATCAAACAAATGAAATGTATAAATTTCCGCCAGAATTTTTTTAAAGGTCAGACGATACGTTTCTCAAATATATCTTTTGTATTTCTCCGTATTATATAAAAGGTTATGCATATTTGTCATTCGCTTGTAATTTCTACATTGTTTTCAATACGTTTTTAAATATAAGTACATCAAAAATTGTGGTATAGGCCATTCAGAAGATTGTCCATAATGGTTACACATGTATCAGAAACATCACCCTGTGGTATCATGGACAAATGCCTGGTAAGGTACCCTAATTTTTTGTGAGGAGACTTGTTTAAATATCTATACTTTAATGACAAATTCTTGGGAAAAATCATATATTTTTTGAGGAACGTATCATCTGACATTAAGTAACATTGAATTGAATGAAGATTATATAATTTTTATAGATTTTAAATTTTATTCCTTGAAAAACTCGGGGAAAAATATCATTGAATTATAAAGTCGTGTTGAATCTTGCAACATAAAGACGATCAAAACGTATTTACTAAATCTTAGTCTTTAAGCTTCGTAGTTCTTTTAAAAATCTTTAACTAACAAATAATGAAAAATAAACTGTATTGAATATCAGATTATACAGAGAAGATTGGACGGATCTTTAAGTTTCAACAGACCATGGACAGAATATAAACAAGGATTTGGGAAGGCCGATAGCGAGCATTGGTTAGGTTGGTGGTTTTCTTTTATTCTTTTCTTTTCTTTTTCTGTTAATTACAAATCAGGATAAATAAATGAATAACGGTTTTGATTTTATTTTATAAAACATATGTACATTTAGGCAATGACTATATTCATCAACTGACGATTTCTACACCCTCCTTGTATGTGGGAATTACATTGAATAATGGAACATCATTCTATGCGCATTACCCTCAATTCTCAATCTCAGATGAGACAGATGGCTATAGACTCCACTTAAATGGAACAGCTTTGGGAACTCTTGGTAAGATTAAGGTGTAAATATAATGAGATAATCAACATCTGAAGATAATGTTTGCTTATATTCGCCCCTCCAAAACACTTCTTAACTTTGAATATGATTATAAGTGTCTACACAGATGACAATTTTCATTTTTCAGACGATAGCATGAGAGCTGCTGCAGCAATGAATATAACTGGTTGGAGATTTTCCACCCCAGATAGGGACTATGATGCATGGCCAGAAGGAAGTTGTTCCTCACACTTTAAAGGCGGGTGGTGGTTTAACTGGTGCTCACACACCTTTCTGAACGGTGAATGGGGACTAGCTTCCTGGGAACGTCCATGGATTGCACAGGTTTCCGACGGAACGAGTGTCGCTTCAACAGTAATGATGATTCGTTAAAGATGATTGTCAGACTTTATCTTTTGCATCTCGTGCAAAAGCGGAGAGTAATTTCTATTTTAAAAAAAAATAAGTAAATAAACTTATTCAATTTGAACATTATTTATCTCTTCAAGGGTATTGAAATATCATTCTAAATTAAGTGAATTTCATGGGATCAATGAACTTTGTAAGACATGCAGTATTCCAATCTTGTACGAATTTAGCTACTGAGTAGCATTAAGAACATTTCACCCAACTTTATATTAGTTACTGAGTATGTTTTATGCACATGCATGTATGTTTCGAACGTGCTTTTTAAAAGAAAACTCGTGCATAAGTTCTTTAAATGGAAATAAAATTGACAATAACCAAAACCGAAAGAGACAAGATACTGGGTAATACTAATACACACTGCATTTTTCATTCACGAACTTGATATCATCGGATGCAATTCGAATGCAATTATGTATTCTGAATTATTGATACTTCATTCCTGAGAAAGAGGAAGTGCTCTTTCTCTTTGTAAAATTAAACATTCATTATGTACTGCTCCCAGTTGGCGAAATAGTTAATAAACTAAATCAAATTTACAGTCATCATTTTATAAGTTCTATGGTCGATACAATGACATTGTCATTAAATACAATTTATCATTGAATTAAATCCTGACTGACGTTTTTCAAACTAATTGTTGGTCCATTATTTGTACACTGAATTGGTCAGCAGGGGATGCTCACTCCTCCATGGCACCTGATCCCACCTATGATGTTTTGTAGGTCTGTGTTTGCTCTGCTCCTATTTTGTATTGTTTTTATAGACTTTGATATTGAATACTGTTCGTTATCTACTTATCCCTTGAATTCATCATTGCATGTATTTTAATTGTATATTAGAAGATCTAGAATTTATTTTATAGAATATTATTTTCAAAGTAAATTGTTCACCGATTTCTTTCATGTTACCTTATCTTGACAGGAAGCACACGGCGGTTATAACCGGCCGAAAGGAGATGCTTAATCCTTTATGATGGTGTCTTCTACCTATTCCCACTCTTTAAAAATCTCAATTCCACCTTTTCTCACTTGCATAAAACAATAGATGTTTAGATAGTTTAACGATAATTAGACTAATTACATCCCCTCTTAGATTTACCTATATTTTGTGAGAAATATTATTTAAATCCTTAAAAAAAATAGGGATTTGAACAGAATTTATTGATCTCTTCACAATTTGAGAGATTAACAAAAAAGGTCTTACAAGAAAATGCACTTTAATAGCTTGATTTTAGAACATAAAATTAAGAGATTTATCGAGGTAAGGCAATTAAATAGGTGGATTCTAGAATGAACATATTTATTGGGAAAATATTATTTAATTCCCTGTAAAATCTTTTTTTTTCCCTTTCAAATATTGGTAAAAATTCTGATTTATTATTTTAAAAAGCAAATGTACCTGTCCTGTCATCTATAGATGTTCTTTAGTCATTGTTTATATAGTAATTGTATGTTTTCATAGTTAATTATTTGTTGACACAAAAATTCCAGCTATTCCCACATGAAATCTTACCTTTTTCTACCTGATTTTCAAAAAGTGGGAATAGGTAGAATGAACCTCCGACTTTGCTCTGCTCCAAATTTGTTTTTTTCCCATTAGATCTTGAGCGTGATACCTATTCTTTATATTAATAATGAATGCATAAGATGGTTCATGGTTCCTGTTCTGGTTGACAATGTATAATTATAATTAAATGCGTCTTTTACACCTACATGTAAATATCACTTCAGTCTCAGTTGCAATACATAAATGGATGAGTCCTAAGGTATCAAATGCATAGCTGAAAAATATCACCTTTTCACCGTCTTTTTTTGACATGTGTGACGCCTCGGGATAAGAATATAATATATATTTGCCACTTGATTTTTTTCATATCAACATAAAATGCATCTCCTTTCGATGACATTCATTGTAAAGACTCGAGTTATTTTATTTTGATGTTTTGTTCTTCTAAACAAACCAAACAGCAAGGACTCTGAAAACTGGGAAGCATAATTTATATCGCTTCTCTCTCGCCTGCATTTCCCAAGTTAAAATATCTGTTAGTAAAGACAAATATGATGTAATCGTGTCAAATAAAATTAAGGTATCCATTGTACATATGGGTAAAAATTTATATGTCTGGAAACCCTATAATTTATTCTCTAAAATCAAAGTATGGGTAATGACAAATTCAAAAAGATGGCATCAGGGGCAACAACTCATTTAAGGAAGATAACTCTTGATGAAAACTAAAATCTAAGGAAAAACACAGAAATTGGTATCTAAAAAGTGTATTCCATAATAATGACACAGCAATTACTTTTTTATTGTAATCTTTATATAAAATTAAAGAATATCAAATAACAAAACACAGTAATTAAGAGTGTTATTTAAAGAAAAAAAATTCTTAACTGGTGACAAAATGGTCTTTTCGCAAAATATAAACGTTCATGTTCATAATGTCATTTGCAACATGCTTTTACCATAGAACATTAACATTTTGAAAGGGAAATATTTATAAATGCATTCGAAAAGTCAAAACACTTTTCCCTTTAATTATTTCAACAATATTTTTTTCACTTTTTTGCAAGTCATGAATTATGAATCTCATAACTCAATGTACAAAATTGATTTATGTCAATATGTATGTATATGTACGTTTTCGTGACACAGACATTATGCACATGCTACTAGAAATTGAAAGAACTTTCGATCGCAGTAAGAAGGGTTTTCCAAGTGCTGCCCACCAACCACCCCGATCATTATTCCACCTTTGTACTACTAAATAAATATGCAGTGTGAAAGTAAATTGGATAAAAACTGTGATATATGTTTATATTTTAATGTTTAGATTTTGGCAGTTTTTGTCTGCCACCTTTTTTGCTTATTGTTATTTTTTACATTCTGGATTGTTTATTTTGATTTTCTTGATGTAATATGTTACACTGGGGAGATCAATTAGTGTTTTGTACAAATTTACACATTTTTTCAAGAGTGATCTCCCCTTTATTTGATGTATTTTGTGATTATCTTTCGTCATTTATACATGTAAAATAAATGACAAATTCATCCATCAAACTTTGTGTTGGTGTTACTTTAATATGGATGTGATATGGGCTACACAAGGTTAGAGGTGTGTGCAAAAAACTAGCTTCAGTGAACTTGTAAAATTAGTTAAATTACACTGGAGAACATAAAGAACTTTATATACGTATTATATTAAAAGAATACAAACTGAAAATTCTCTGAATATAAACATGCATTTTTAATGAGCAATAACATTTATTCTTTATGTAACATATATATATATATATATATATATATATATATATATATATATATATATATATATATATATATATATATATATATATATATATATATATATATATGGATGAATTCGGTTGGCGACTATTGAACGAAATAAAATGATATGGAAAGCAAAAAATAATGAACATAGACTGACAATAAAAAATATAAATCATGTTTACTCAAAAAGGAGGCGAGACAGAAAAGAAAAGAAACATAAATCCTTAGTTTGACATACTAGTATCAATTTTAACACCAATTAATGAATAAATTAATCTAACAAGCATGCATGCAATATAAGTCAAAATTCAAAGCCGTTATTCTTAGTTGCTATAAATAATAGACGGTGTTGTCAATTTAATTTTTTTTTTTTAAATCGATAATTCAAGTAAACATTTTTACTTAATGTATTTTTTTTTCTTAAAAAAAAAAACAATTTGTTGTCCTATATATTAAAAACAGCTTTTAAAAATATGTTTAAAAAACTCTTTTTTAATTCTGACTGGATTTTGAACTTTAATTGCTTTTTTTTAAGAATTCCTGTGGGTACCAATTGCACCCTTCTATAAACAAACCTATTTTTGTATTCACATGAAGCAGAATTCGTTTAAATCCTTACATATGAAAGGACATGATGTCGCCTTCAAATCGACAATTGGATATTTTACAAAAAAGTCGTTATTGGTTATTCAACAACAAAGCTTGTTGATAAACATGAAAACCTTATTTTTTCAGTTGTCATCTTTCCATACTTATGCAGCAATATACATTTTTCACCTGCATACGGTGTTTATATCTCTCAATTAATTCGATATGAAAGGGACTGCTCTACGTATAAACAATATCAAAAACTGGGTAAGTTATTGACAAACAATTTCTTTAATCAAGAATCAGCAGTCCCGTTTAAAGTCATCATCTTATAAGTTTTGTGGTTGATACAATGAAATCAAATGGTGGCTGATGTTTTTCTTACTAATTGTTCGTCCAATATATACAAACCAAATGGTGTACGGACTTTTCGATCATGACAAAAAGCACAAGGTGGTCGGCAGGGGATGCTCACTCCCCCATGGCACCTCATCTCTGATGTTTCGGAGGTCCGTGTTTGCTCTGCTCCTGATTTGTATTGTTCATTACATTTGAGCAGAAAATTGTAGGTATTGAAATTGCTTTAATTAAGATTAATTTAAAATAAATAAAACTTAGAGCTTCAAGATGCAAACCCTTTTCGCTCATGATTTTTTTTACTTCATCAATTTGCTGCTCAATCAAAAAGAAACAATTTGCCATAAAATGTGAGATTGTAGACGGATAAATCCTATGATGATAATTGTATGAATGACAAAATTAACGTTTTCGAATATGATTGATATGTTTTGGAATAGGAATCATATTTTCCTATAGGAAAAACAATTCATCAAATAGAAATGACAATTATCGAAGAGGAATCACATTTCTAGTACATCGAATCGGACTGTAAATAATTGTTGGCCTCTGCAATGATAATTACATTTAATTATATCGCATTTAAGTTGCAATCATTAATTTATGTTTACCATTTAAACTTTACTAGCCACTTGTTAAAAAATCATTTTTTTCGTGCTTATCAAACGAAAATACTTAAAAATGCACGCCTTTTTTAAAATTATGAATTGTCTGCAATTTTAATTGCCCCGGAGATCGTTACTCCTAGACGCCTTAGATCGTCTGTTCTCCTGATGTATAAATATGCACCCCAAAATTTTCTTACATCATTTCTTACAAATGATTCAGTGGTTGTACTGATACCTGAAGGATTTGGCATACAGTTATAAAAAAAAAACTACTGACAGAAGATGGTTACGTATGGACAGCTACTTCAATTAATTTCGATCTTTTCGAAAATTTTAACATTGTCAGCC